ACTTATATATATATATATTTGTTACATGAGATCCAAAAGTGTTCTTTTTGATCTTCTGTAATTTCATTTATCTTCAAAAAATTCTTATTGATAATTCATCTCCTATTGTCAGGTAAGTTTATTTGTAAAACGGAGGCCAGCTCTTCAAAAGATATCCTTTGTAGGGCATTCCCTTGGTGGGTTGGTAGCAAGATATGCTATTGCTAGATTATATGAAAGAGGTGACATTAAGGATTGCTCTACTGAGAATGGGAGTTGTAAGTTTCAGCAATCTGATGAACCTTCTGAACAAAATCTCGGAGGAAAGATTTCTGGGCTGGAGCCTGTAAATTTCATCACATTTGCTACACCTCACCTTGGCTCTAGATTCCACAAACAGGTGAACTTTCTAGTTCAATTTCAATTTTTGTGTACTTTGTTAGATATGACTCATATCTAGGGAGATGGAGTTTCTTCTGAAGAGGTGTGACTCCTGGTGAAAAGGAGTGTCTCTTGGAATAAAGGGGGTTGGGAGGAGCGAGGGCGTGATTGTAATTGTGTAATTTTATCTGAGGGTTTGTATATGTCTATTTATATGTGAAACCCTATGGGATGTATTGTAACTTCTCTGAAATAGTGAAACCGCCGCTCGCTCCCGAGGACGTAGGCAATTCTTTGCCGAACCTCGTTAAATCTCTGTGTTCTTCTTCTAATTTGTGTCGATTCCTGTTTTATTCCGCTGCAATTTCCACAACATATTTTTGTACACATTGAAATCACGGATCACTGCAAATGAGCTTTTCTTATTTTATTTTGATGTTTTCTTCCATTAATGTGATTTTCATAGAACATAGCCAAGATGCTTGACATGTTTTTTCTGGTTTGTCCTATTTTGAATATCTCTTTTCTTTAGTCTGAGTTTTGAGTGAGGTCAAAAAACTATGGTTTGCTTTTAAATTTTGATAACTTTTTCATTGATGGAAAAGTGGGTTGGGATATGTAATAACAGTTTAACTCAATCAGAAGTGTCTGGCTGAACTTCTAATTTCTATAGCAATTAATGTTAAATGATCTATCCAGAGTGAGCAGCGCATAAAATTATTTTGCTTTTTGAATAACTTTGACCATTCATGTCTTCTTTGGCTAAACTTGGTTTGAGTATTTTAATGTTAGTTTTTTTTGCTCAAAATCAAACTTGATCATATGTCTTGAAATTCTTAATGACTCCTAAGCTTGCTTAAGCCTTGGAGATTGTTTTTTATTTAAATCCATTAATCAACGCAATTAGTTTGTAAAATTGTTTTTTAATTGCAGATTCCCATGCTTCTTGGTTCCTATGCATTGGAAAAGTTGGTGTTTCGCATTTCCGGTATTGCAGGGAGATCAGGGAAACATCTCTTCCTCAAAGATCATGACGAGGGAAAGCCCCCTCTTCTTCTCAGGATGATCACAGACTCTGGAGATCTAAAATTCATGTGGGACTTCATAACTGATGATTATTGTTCAGCAAAAACACTTAGTGGATATCATTATTAAATTATATTTCTTTTACAGTTCTGCGTTGCGATCATTCCATCGACGAGTTGCTTACTCAAATGCTCGCTATGACTGTATCCTAACATTTAAAATGCACATAATACTGATATGTTAAGTTTTTAGCAAAGATTGGGCCATCTTAGTCTTCCTTTGATAAATTGTTATGATTTTATTGATTAGTAAGTCGTGATTACTTTCTAGGAGATGGATGAACTTATTATAATGTTTCCTTGTCCGTAAATTCAAACATGGAGCATAAATCTCCATTGTGCATTCACAATAAAATCATAAATTAGGCACAGCTTATCTTTTAGAAAAACAACATTTAAACCGAATGCATAGTTACAATAGTAGTTTTGTTGCTATGATCAGTACTTAACTATTCTTAGTTATTGTGGGATGGAAGACGTCGTCAATCCGCCGTCAGCATGAGCTTCCAAAGGTAAGTATCTGTAGTCTCTGCATTGCTAAGTTTCTTGTGGCCATCTTATGTAAGTCTTTCTTTTTGCCGCTTCAATCCAGCCCAACAATTTTACAAAGGATTCAAAATATCCTCATGTTGTTTTTGTGGAAAAGCCAAAGAATACTGATGTGAAACAAGATGGTTTTATAGAGTCAATGATTTATGATCCAAAATCTGCCGACGAAATGGAAGGTTTGTCATAAATTTTTATACTCTTAACTGCCATTCTATGTCAATCTAATATCATTTTTATATTGAATTTTTAGCTGATGCAAATGTAAAAAATTAGGCTCATTGAACCTGAAAATTGTGTGCATTGGTTTTGTTTTTGTTTTTTTAATTTTATTTCTAGTTATTTTATAGTAAATATGCTTGTGATAAATGTGCCTTTGAGGAGGTGTGACCTCTATTGGTATGATTACATTGATTAATTTCATTTAGTTTCGTAAGTTGTGTTGATTAGTGCTTCTCTCATTACCAAGTCATCTATTTTCAGTTCCCTGTTATAGTACCTCATTAATTTTAATACAAGTTCCGATCTCCTCTCTGTTTCTAGCCTTTGAAATTCATGTTGGTTTCGGCATTTACACTGCGGCCAGGTGTGTTTTTGTGTTTTGTTATTATCCTCCAATATATAGTTTCTGTCGAAAAACAAAACCTGGGATCTTGTGGACCGACCAAAGAACCAACGTATAGTTGGTTGTAAGTGGACCTTCAAGAAGAAGGAAGGCGAACTGCAGCTACAGGAATTAAGCATTCATTTCCTTCGGCTACAGCAAGGTGTTCGGAACTCTTGTAATTGGCAGTCCTGAAGGTGTACAACACCTCAGGTCTTCGAACTGCAGCTACAAGAAATCGAACAGGCAGGTGTTTGGGTAGTAGGCATTGCAGGTGCTCCTTCGGTTCTCAATTCCTTCAACAGCAAGGTGTCTCTTGGCAGTCTAGCTCTTAGGTGATTTCAGGTGTTCGGTGGGGCAAGTTTTTTCCAACAGTTTCCTATTGTAGCTATAACCACACAATGTCATGAGTTGCTTTACAAATTTACTATTGTAGTTGCTTGCCGATTCCTATTTCCTTGTACGTTGCTATAAGACCCTATCCATATTTTCTTATAGTTTTGTATCCTGTCTGCTATGATTATCTTACTGTAGCAGGAATTGAGCAAGAGCAAGGCTGGTTGTCCTAAAATTTCCTAATTTTGCCGGATTATGACAAACTCTTGAGTCTAGATCTTTTTAGGATATAAATAAGGCTATGGAGGCATATATTAAGAAATGATTTACTGAATAAAAATTATTGTTTTACCTCTGGCTTGTTTATACTAGCTGGTTGTGAATTCTTCCCCTCCGATGCTAATGATCTTGATGATAATTTCTGGGGGAATGCTGTTGCGCTGGAGCCCGATAAAAACAAAAATATATATACATACCTGTTAACTGTTCCCGCCTCTCCTATTTCGCGAATCGGAGCCATCCCCGCCTCTTCGCTGGAGTCCTGCTTTCCCAATTTCTTAGTTAAAATTCCCGCTTCTTCCCCCCGCGTCCGCTATCTGCTAAATTGAGAATTAAGGTGTGCAGAAGAGTAGTTATCCTGTTTTTCTTTTCTTTTTGCTTGATGGGCTTTCGGTGAGATAAAACAAAGAGGAATTCCTGGACTTGGATCTACTGTATACGGGTGAAGAAATTGGGATAAAATATTGCAAGCTTTTTTTCCCATTTTTCTTCTTCAAGTTGGCAAACGGGTGAAGGTATATTTTTGAGCGGCTGAAGGAAGATTTAGCGAAGGGTGAAATAGAGGAAGTTGAATTGAGCTTCGAGAAACCTGTTGAAAAACTGTGTAACTCCTCTAGTAATAAAATCCTCAGCAAGTTCGTGGACGTATGAAATTTGCCGAACCACATAAATCTGTGTATCGCTCTTTTCTCTGTGTTTTTTGTGTGCGAATTTTTTCGTTCTATTTTTTTGCTTTGTCGTCGATCGTTTTATTTTATACATATACCACAACAACTGGTATCAGAGTCATAGTTCGAATCTGATGAAAAATGATCCCTGCAGATAAAATGGATGTTTTAGGGGTCGAGAAATTTGATGACACAAATTTTGGTTACTGGAGGATGCAGATACTGGAGGATGCGCAGATAGATGACTACCTCTATGAAAAGAAACTTCATCTTCCGTTATTGGGGAAAAGATCGAAAGTGATAAATGAGGCTGGATGAAATTTATTGGATCAACAAGTTTTGAGGGTTATTCGATTAACTTTGTCGAGGTTCGTGGTACACAACATTGTCAAAGAAAAGACTACTGCAAATCTCATGTCAGCCCTGTCAGACATGTATGAAAAACCATTGGCGAATAACAAGATATATGTTGTGAAAATATTATTCAATTTGAAGATAACGGAAGGTAAGTCTGTTGTACAACACCTGAATGATTTTAATACTATCACAAATCAATTATCGTCTGTGAAAATTGAATTTGATTATGAGATGTGTGCACTGATCCTATTGATTTTATTGTCAAACAGCTGTGAATATATGAGGATGACTGTTTGTAATTTTGCAGGTAAATCTAAATTGAAATATGATGATATTCGTGATTTGATTTTGGCTGAGAAGGTGCACATGAAATATTTTGGCGAAACCTCGGGTTTGAGTTCAACATTAAATGTTAATTTTAGAGGGAGATCACATAACATGAACTCAAACAGAGGAAGATCAAAATCAAAGCACAGAAGCAGGAGCAAGTCAAAACCTGATCAAAAAGCAATTTGCTGGAATTGTGGCAAAACTGACCACATAAAAAAGAATTGTAGAAATCTCAAAAAAACAGAATGACAGCGAAAATGTGGTAACTGCAGAAGCACATAATGTATTATTATTAGCAGTTTATAGTTATGTTGATGACTGAATACTGGATTCAAGGGCTTCTTTCCATACAACTTTTTATTGGGAATTGATGTGAAATTATGTTGCAGGTGACTTTGAGAAAGTATATCTGACAGATGAAGAAACTGTGAATGTTGTAAGAATTGGAGACATTGATATTGCACTTTCAAACAAGAACAAGTGGACTCTGCAAAAGGTCAGACACAATCTTGAACTGAAGAAGAACCTCATTTCTGTTGAGCAACTTGATGACTGTGGACATTTAGTAGTGTTCTCAGGTAGCATCTGAAAGGTTACTAAATGAGCTTTGATACTGACTCGGGATAAGAAAACATGCAAGCTGTATATGACTAATGGTTTAATTAACAATGTTAATACTACTGTTGCAGAGAACACAACAGAGTTGTAACATTGCAGACTTGGTCACATGAGTCGGAGAGATGGGAAAGAATTTCTGTCCAAAGGTAAGCTACCAGAGCTAAAGTCAGTTGATCTCAGCATGTGTGAGCGTTGCATTATGGGAAAACAGAGAAATGTCAGTTTCTTGAAAAGTGACGGGACATCAAAGGCAGAAAAACTAGATCTTGTACACACAAATGTGAAGCTCTCTCGCTATGCATCATGCTCCGCAAATTTCGTATGTCAATCTCCGTTCTGCTGCAACCATTCTGTGATAATAAGACTTTAATGAACATTGCTCATAACCTAGTCCTGCATGAACATAC